TAGGCAATTATCACAACACTGAGCTACATTTTCAGCCTTCCTTTTACTTTTCGTTTGGAGACAGGGTCTTGCTAAAGTTGCCCAGACTGGCCCGGACCTTGTTCTATGACCCAGGTGGAACTCGAACTTCTGCCTGGGATTACAGACCTTTACTACCAGGCCTGCAAAGGTTCTTTGCATAAGTTTCTTGAACAGTTCTGACTAGTTTTACTCACTGTGCAGTCAGTCTTAAATTTTTTTAATGTTAGGAGTTCTTTATGTAGGAGAGACATCTGCAGGAGTGTTCCATGTTGCTTCAACTGACAATATACTCTTGTGCTGGGCATGGTGGCAATATCACCACTTAATACCAGAACTGGGGAGACAGAGGTAGGTGAATCTCTGTGAGTTCTAGGCCCTTTTGGTCTACATAGGGAGTTCCAGACCTAGCCTATACAGTGAGAGCCTGTCTCAAAACCCAAAACAAAGAAGACAACCTATTCTCTAATACTGGGTAGCAGACTGCCATATATTTTTTTAAAAACTGCCTTTGGATTTTGTTGATTAAGTTTCCAAACTTGCCCTCATTTCTTTGATTTATTGTGGATGAAAGTGGTGATTTACAACACTTTGATCTGTTTCTGTGTCTGTCTCGTCCTCTATCTTGAGGATGGAACCCAGGACTTTGGGTACCCTAGGCAATTGCTCTATCCCTGAGCTACATCTCCAGCTGATGGTTGTGTTTCTCTCTGGGTCTCACAGTTTCTGCTTTGTAAGGTGCTGGGTCCTTCCCTGGTGCACAGCTACTGAGAGCTGTTCTAGCTTCATTGGAAACGACTGTCCTCTGTCTGGCTTGACTCTGGTGGGCCTGACTTCCGTCTTACCTGATAACACGCTGATCCCAGTTCTCTTGTTTACACAGTTGCTGTTCCTTTGCTTTTAGCTATTTGAGTTACTTAATTTCAAATATTGTGGTGGTTTGAATGAGAAATGTGTCCCATAGGTTCATGTATTTGAACACTTGGTCCCTAGTTAGTGACCCTGTTTGGGAAGGTTATGAAACTTTTAGGAGGTAGAGGAAGTATGTCACTGGGGGTGGGTTTTAAGGTTTTGTGCCCTGGTCCTACTTCCTGTTCTCTCTCTCTCTCTGCAATTGTGTGGATGAAGATGTGACCAGCTTCCTGCTTCTGTAGCCAGACTTCTCCTAACTATTGCCCTCTCTGCCATGATGGACTCTGTCCCTCATGTGCCTCTTGTTACAGCCCGGAGTTGAATTTTGCTTTGTGAGCTAATCTGGACATCCTGGTTGAGGAGGTTTAGGAGATGGAGTCTCAGTGGAGGAAGCACGGTGTTGGGTCCCATTTCCAGTTTTGCTGTGCCTGCTTGAAGATGTGAGCCTTGCCCTTCTGCCGCCTCCTGCCATGCCACCCCCAATATGATGGACTCTCATTCCTCTGGAACCATAAGCCAAACAAACTCTCCTTTCTGTAAGTTGCCTTGGTCATGGTGTTTTGTCATAGCAACAGAGACGTAACTAATACATAACTTCATTTTCTTCCCATTACAGCTCTGAAAGTGAGTCACCCCCCCGCCCCCCAGCTTGAAAGGTTTTCTTTTTCCTTTAAAATCATATAGTTCTCCTCAGATGACTCAAACTGACCATTCTAGGACAAGTCTCTCAGAAACGTGGTCGATCTTTCCAAATATAGATCAAGATTTACTCTAGTAAGATTTCTTAGGGTATAAATTTAAATATTAATTCCACTTGATTTGTTAAGGTTCCCCCCCACACACATGAATTAGCTTGCTTTGCCTGTCTTATTTTTCTTTTTCAGTTTTTTTTTTTCATGGTTTTTTTTTTTTTTTTTTTTGGGGTTTTTTTTTTTTTTTTTCGGTCCTTTGAGATGAGGTCTCCCTGTAGCCACAGCTCGTTAACTTTGTTCTTTCTGTAGCTGTTGTCCCCTGGCAGTTCATAGTCTACTTTTTCATTTTAAGACCTGTCTTTCCTTTCTGGATCTATGTCAATTTTGAATTTGAGCTTTTGGATTTCTAACTTGTTTTTTAATATTAATAATCATTTGTTTATTTTTATTTAATTAATGCTAAGATGCTTTCAAAAACCATTCTCTTATTTTTAATAAATAAATTTTAAATATTTCAATTAGTTACAATGGTTTACTGACATTGTCTTATTCTTTTAAAAAAATTTTATTTATTATTTTTATTTTATGTGTATGAGTGTATTGCCTGCATGTATGTGAGTGCACCCATGTCGTGCAATGCTGTGGAGGTCAGAAGGGGCGTCAGAATCCCCTGGAACTGGAGTTAAGGATGGTTTGTAGCTGCCATGTGGGTGCTGGGAATCGAACCTGGGTCCTCTGCAAGGGCGGTCTGTGCTCTTAACTGCTGAGCCATCTCTCCAGCCCCAATTTACCTTATTCTTTAAAAAAAAATTATTACTCTGTGTGTGTGTGTGTGTGTGTGTGTGTGCGTGTGCCACAGCACGTGTGGAAGTCAGAGACAACCTTCAGGAGTCAGTTCTCCTTCCACCTTGACGAGTCAGGATCTTGTTTCTGCCATACTTCATACTCCCAGCTCGCTGGCCCAGGAACTTTCATCTGATTCTCCTGTGTCTGCCCCCATCTCACTGCAGGAGTGCCGGAATGACAGACATACACCTCTGTACCCCAAGTTTGCTGTAGGAGTGTTGGGATTACTGATACCCAGGATCACATTTGGCTTTTTTACTTGGGTTCTGGGATGGAGCGCATGTTGTTATAAAGATATGTGGAGGCCCTGTTCTGCCCATGATAAAATAAATGTGTAGACCTAGACCAGTAGTAAGTGGAGATTTTAGTGGAGGGAGGGGTGCGTAGCTTTGATTGCTTGCTTTCCTAGTTCAGGGCACTCTATTAGTTACTTTTCCTGTTATGACCAAATACTTGCTAAGAAGCAACTTAAGGGAAGGTGGCTGGTTCCGTTGTGCTTGAAGTCAGAAATCAGACAGGAACTTCTATTAATCCTGAAAGTCTGCCCCAGTGACTCACTTCCTCCAGCAAGGTTCCACCTCGTAAAGATTCTACAACCTTCTAAAACAGCATCACCAGCTGAGGACCAAGTGTTCAAACACATGAGCCTATGGGGAACATTTTGTATTCAAATCATAACAGGCGCCGTCTTCCCCAGTGCGGGAAGCTGTGGGCATGCTGTGCCTTGGTTTTCTGGCACTGTGGCTTGGTCTGCCTCTTTCTATGCCCTTAGGCTTATGAAATTTTGTCCAGTCTTGATGTCTTTGGGTGTTGAGAAATTATTTGCTGTTTTCCCGATAAAGTGTCTGTGTGCTGGGGTGAATTTCTATCTGAATCTTCTCTGATCTTCAACTCCTAATGCAATGTGCAATGGGGGCTTGTACAGTTCTTGTCCGCGGTATTAGTTGCTTTTCTGTTGCTGTGATAAAACACCATGATCAAAATAACTTATAGAAGGAAGAGTTTATTTGGGCTTACAGTTCCAGTGGGATAAGAGTCCATCATGGCAGGGAGGTGTGGCAGTGGGCAGGCATAGTGGCTGGAGCAGGAAGCTGAGAGCTCACATCTTCAATGGCAAACCAGAACAGAATGGGCTAACTGTGGGACCAGACTGTGAACCTTCAAAGCCTTCCCCCAGTGATGTGCGTCCTCCATGAGGCAACTGACCAAGGATTCTAATACCTGAGCTTGTGGGGTATATTTCTCATTCACACTACCACAGCTGTGAACCCTGCCAAGCTACCCAGGGTCCAATGGGAGTGATAGGCCCACCCAGCTGGTTCTCTGTGGCCAGGAGATAAATGCCAGATCTTATCCCAGATGATGATGCCTTCACTGAAACTTGAAGAGTTAGTCTAGATTGGGTTATTGATGTGGGATGGGATGTTGGAGGCCAAGTAGGAAGCAGGTAAACATGGGAGATAGTTTAGCTTGGGATTTCCATTTGATACTGCATTATGGACACCCCCCCTCTAACAACACACTTGGAAACCTAGTTCTTTTACCTGCACGTACTATGCACATGCACCCCTCTCTATGCAATGAACCTAGTAACCTCAGAGCCCTCTTCACTCCCCATATACATCAGGGTACACGTACCCCCATCTCTGAAACAATAGTATGAATTCACCACCTCTGGTAACAATCAGCTTTAGACATCTTCGATTCAAGTGTAGTATTCCTAATGTATCTGGGTATAACGAGTACCCAGGCTGATCTAGCCTGAGCCATTGGGTGCATGAGCAAGATTGTGCATTCTAGCAACCTTTTAGGGAGAATCCCCTATTTACCATCTTAATTATGCCTATGCATAATTAAAATCAGATGCATTATAGGAAGGACACCCACAATCGGAAAAATGAATGCATAACCTAATCAATCAAAATAAAGAACTACTGAAACCATGCCCCTTAGTAACTCATTTCTTCTCTTGAACCCCATAAAAGGAAGTCCTGAACCATTAATCGTGGCCCTCGAATACTCTCATTCATGTGGCTCCCTGTCAATCTTGACAGTGTATTCCTTTCTAACCTACACTATCTCTTTGATGCAAATAAAGTTATCCTGCCTTTGCAAATCTGCGCAAGTCCTTGTTTTCCGCTCTTTTGATGACTGGCGAAGGACCTGGAAACACCCCACCCAGACCGGGGTAACAAGGGACAGTGTAGAAGTGAAGCATGATGGGAGGCAGGAAGCTGTGGAAGACCTGGGCACGTCTTCCACACAAAATAAAAACTTCATATGCATCCAAGTTCTTGCCAGGCTTCCTGGCTGTCCTCGCTGTCCCTTAGGGACTGTCTTGCCTGGAAGATCCTCCCGCGGTTGGACCTTTTCTACTATGTGCTTGCACATTTTGGACTGGAATCCTTGGATCCTACCCACCACAGTTGTAGCCCAACTCCACCTCCAAAGGGGAACATGTCTTTCCTCCTGTTTACTGCAAAACACCTACCCCTAGCCATGAACATGGTCATAAAAATGTGAGAAAACCAATGCAAAAATTTATATTTTATTTGAATTCAAAAAATTTAAAATTGCTTTCAAATTCCGGAAAGTACCATAATGCAGAACCCCAGGGGAGCCTCATATACAGAGACCGATAAATTAAATGCATATACTGCAGACAAGCCAAGGAGGGGTGTAGACTACATATTTACAGCACTTGATATTTTCTGAAAACCGTATTTATACATTTTATTACATTTACAAAAAAGGCTTCCACTACCGTTTACCTACAATAATGAAAAAAAATGTACACCTTTTTTTTTTCTGTTTTTGGTACTGTACAAACTTTGTATAATAAAAATATATCTCTGTACAAAAGATTTTTTTTGTTTTTGTTTTACTTTTTTTTTTTCCTCATGGGATGGAGGTGGTGGATATAGGGTATGAACGGCGGGCTCAGGGCCTGATCTGCCTTTATCCCCTTCCGAGCCTCTGGAGGTGGAGAGAAAGTGCCTGAGGTGGGAGGGGCGGCGAGCGCTGGGTGCCCACCAGCCTGTGCTCCTTGATGTCTCCTGGGACTTCCCAAGAACACACAGGTGTGGGAAGTAGGAGGACTGGAGGAATCCACTGGGTGGTCTGTAAGAGGGGAAAGAGCAGCACAGCCTCCTGTGTTGTTGTCCAGGGACAGAAAGGAATTAGTGTGATTGCATTTGTCTGGATTGGTCCTTTCCCACCTGGCCTGGGGATGCTGCGTCCCAGAGGGTGTGTGAGCAGAAGTGGGCTCCCGCCCTTGATAGTTTCCGCTGCACCTGCTGGCAATTGTCACCCCTCACTTCAGCCCACCTTAGCGTCAGTCAGATCTTCTAACTGTTCCAACCCAAGACTGGTTTGAGAACCAGATGGCTCTACCCCTCCATGATTAGTACTTCAATATGCCCTACAGACATCTGAGGCCAGCATTCACATGGAAGCAGGAGTGTATGCTCATGGGGACCTTCTGGAGGACAAAGAACAAGGTCTAAATGATACATGTTGACTCCTAAACGCATGAGCTTCCTGACCATACTCATGGAATTCATTAATGACCCAAACACCTAAATTGTCTAAATGAAGCCAAGCCACTTGCGAGGAGCTGGAGAGATGGTGATGTCCACTCAGTTCTTTTCATTGGGGAGACGCCAAGTCCTTTGTCGACTGTGATTCAGGGGCTGCTGAGAGCCAAGGGCTGAGCACCAATTCAGGAGGCTGGGGTGCTGGGTCCCTGCCCTGGCACTTCCCAGGCACAGGGAGCAGAGCCCAGATCAGACATGGGCATACTCCTGTTGAGATTCCCCACCTTCCTGCCTTTGGTGCCCCTTCTGGATGTGGGTTTCTGACAGCAGGTGCAATAGATTTGGGGTCAGAGAGATTTGTGTTTGCATCCTCGTTCTACTGTCTCTGTGGTACATGTCTCCGTCTTCCCTGACCTCTGTGTCCTCATGCATAAAGTGGAAATAGCAAGTCCTGCTTTGGTGCTGTTTTAAGGACTAGAAACAACGCATGTCAAGTGTCAGGCACAGAGAAGAAAGCAGTAAGCACTAGCTGCCACCTTCTGGGAGTCGGGATTGGCTTGCTCCCCTCCTCTCCAGTGCATGCTGTCTGGACCACAGAGGTGTTTTCTCCTCTCTTGGCCAGCTGACAGGCAGACGTGACTCTGGGCTCCTGGGCCACATTCCTGCTCTATCCCCCACTGGCTTACCCTTTCTTTCCAAAGCTGCCCAGGGCACTTTTAATCGGCTGGGCTCAGAACTCAGTACAACCACAGTTGAAAAATGAAATCAAAGAAACTGATTACCAAACTAATTCTGAAGACATCCCCCCTGCTCTCTACATAAGGCTGCTGACTTCTATTGATCCCCTGCAGACAGCTGGGATGCATCCTATGAATGTGTTTACGTGTGTCCTCACACATGGATGGGGACATGTTGATGTGAGAGGGCACGGTGCCTTCCTCATCGTTCCTTCTGTGTTTGTGGAGACCAGGGCCTGGGACATCTTTCGCAACACGCTTCCCTTTTCTAAGCCTCTGTGGTTTCTTCCTTAGGACGCAATGAACAGCTTTGCCATTTTAAATCCATAAACCACTTTACTCCATCTGCAGCCTCTCTTCCTTGACTGTCCCAAGCCAGGGCATAGTAGAGTCCTCTCCAGGGTGGCGGGCACAGATGGTGGCAGGGCAGGCGAGGGCCTGAGTCCCAGCCGTGGCAGACGCAGGCGGAGAGACAGACGAAGATGGGCACTGGGCGCTGTGCTCAGGGGAGCTCCTGCCTGCCCCCCCCACGGAGCTGGGAACCAGGAGAGTACAGCAGGGTTGGCAGAAGAGAGGAGGGGTGGGGTAGGGTGGGATCAGATGGGGACAAGACAAAGAGGGGAGGCCAAGAAGGACGAGGGAGGCATAATAAAAGAACATTAGTCAGCTGCATCTTACCTTTGACTTTTAATCTTCTTACACTGGGGGTGGGAGCAGGTCGGGCACCCATGTGCTTCTTTAGTCTGTGTATGCATGCTCACATGTGTGTGGGTATATGTGTGTGTGCATGTGGAGGCCAGAAGGTGGCGTTAAGCATCTTCCCTGATCATGTTCCATCTTATTCACGGAGGCAGGGTCTCTCACTGAACCCAGAGTTCACCTACTCAGCTAGTCTGGCTAGCCAGCTTGGCATGGAATCTTCCAGCTGCACCTCCCAAGTGCTGGGGTTTACAGGCAGGGCTCCCAGCTTTTATGTGGGTGCCGAGGATCTGAACTCCAGTCCTCAGCTTGCTCGGCAAGAGCTTTATCCCTTGGGCCGTCTCCCCAAACCTTGATCATTGATTTTTCTATCTGTAATCTTTTTCCCTTATGGGCTGATTTTCCCGCTGGGGACTGGATCCTGGCCCACTCCTTAGCTGTGTGGTCTTTGTGTTCATTGATGTTTAGGTACCTGTTTCCAATGCTCTCATGTGCCATGAGGGTCCTAATAGAGGCACAGTGGGGACTGCATTGGCCCAGCCTGGTGGCCGGCTCAGTGTGCAGCCTGCCCTTCATGACTGTGGCGTGTGCCCCTGTGTTCTGCAACCAGTCTGTCTCCCACCCTCCAGTTCCCCCATCTCACCGGCTGCTGGCGGCGGGGCTCTCGGTGGCAGCAGCAGTGGCAGCCAGGCCTGGGGGCTATACCGCAGTACACACTGTGCTGACTGTGAACTCCGCCTCGTTGCTCATGATGTCTGTGGGCTGGATGTTACGGTCATACATGGGGTTTTCAAATGTGGCCCGAACGTTTGTGTTCTCGTGGCCGGCATAGCCATTGAATGGAACTTTGGGTCTTCTCCTGGGAATAACAGACAGTGATCTTGACTTACAGACAGAGACACAGAGGCCCAAAGTAAGAGAGGACTGGGGCTCTTTCTCCTCTTTAGAAGGTTACAGTCCTCTGGGCCAAGGATGGGGGGTTGGGGTAGAGTTGGCCAGGGTACCTGTTACCCTCCCTGGCCTGTGTTTCCACCATACCTGTGCTTATAGAGATAGAGCACGAAGCCCGCGATGATGAGGGCGATGAAAGGCACCAGGATGGCGGCAGCCACTGAGCTGCTGTTGGAAGCAAAATGGCGGCCGATGGACTCCGGGTCTGACTCCAACAGCCTCAGGTCTGCAAAAATGCCAAAGCGCAACACTCAAGTCCTAGGCACTCCTGAGGCCACGGTCCCTGTCAGCCCCTCTAGAGTCTCGCTGCACACCACCCCTGTGTCCCGACCCCAGAAGCCCGCCTCACGTGCTCAGATAGCTCCCCCCACCCGGATTCTGCCTGTGCTGGTCAGATTGTTTGCAGAGCACTTGCTGAGTCCCAGGGAAGGCAGCTGGCAGACCAACGTGAAGCCGGCTCTGAACAAGACCTTTAAAGGATGAGGGCCTTTGAAGTTTCTACACTTTTCTTGGCCATATTATTAGATGAACCTTTTTTTTAAAAAAACAGATTAAGTCGTAATATAACTTGATGAGGCTGAATTATCCTGAGTGAGGGGAGGGGAGTGAGATGTTTGAAGGGTCACTGCTCTCTCCAGTGACTCCCTATGAAGGGTTACATCACTGAGGGTCTAGGGTTCAAGAGGGTGACAGGTCTTCCTCAGGGACAGGGAGTCGGTTGTGGAATCCAAACTGGAGCCCAATTTGCTGGGGTCTTCCCAGTATATGGCTGAGGGCCTGGGGGACTGTCTTAGAAAGGACTGGGGCAAGGATCCCTTGAGGGCAATGCCTAGAGGATTGTGGGAAGGAGTAGGGCGGAGGGGGAGCCCCAGGTAGATTTCTGTTTACTAGAGCTTTTTGGAGGTGAGAGCTAAGGAAGACGTCATGGATTGCCTGGAAGGCAGGGCCCCCCCGGGACTGGAAGTCATGGTGTCTGGGCCACAGAGCTGGGTCTCCAGCATCTACAGCTCCCTCCCTGTCTCCCATGATTCCATCCCATATTAGCCTGAGGCTGGGCAACTGGAGTCTCTGAGTCAGGGCATTTCTGAAGTGAGAATGTTTGGTTTGAATGCCACCAAGCATGCTGGGAAAGGACAAAGGAGGGAAGGCTCCTTAATGCATGGGGTTTCTCATCTGTGATTCTGGAACCATCACAGCCTTCCAGGACTATGTTAAGAAGAAATGACATCATAGGGAAGGGAAGCCCTGATGGTCCATGTAAGGGTGCTTCAGGGGGTTCCTGGTCCTCCAAGCAGTGATGCCTGCAGCACCCAATGGCCAGTAAGGCAGCTCAGGGCCTGATTGTCAGACTTGTTTCTGGAGAGATATGCCATAGCTTTTGTCTGAATCTTAGAGGCAGTTTGGATGCAGGAGAGTCAAAAAATCCTGTTTCAGATGGACAACTTCACCAGTCTTCTGGTAAAGAACACAGATCTCTCCCATCTCTGAGCATACACTTATAAAGAACATGTCCTAGTTACCAAGTCTTTGAAAGCCAAACTGCCCAAAGCCTTGGCCCTTGACGGAGCCTTGGTAGACGAAGGTACCTCCAGAAGACTCCGAGGAGACCTGTGATGGTGGAGGGGGGTGTGGAGAAGGGAGAGAGAGGAGAGAGAGAGAGAGAGAGAGAGAGAGAGAGAGAGAGAGAGAGAGAGAATGGTAAATACCTAGCATGCTAGAACAGATAGAATGGTAAATACCTAGCATGCTAGAACAATCTGGAACTCCTGCTGTCATACCATGCCAGGTTAGGTTAGAGCACAGCTGACCTGTGTGTGCTCGTTGATGGGAAAGGGTAACCTACTTGATATGAGGTGGGAAATAAAAAAAAATGTTTTTCTGCATTTTTGAGGTAAGGTTTCAGTAGCCTAGGCTGGTCTCAAACTTGCTATGTAGCCAAGGATGGCCTTGAACTCCTGTTCCTCCTGCCTCCATCTCCCAAGTGCTGGGGCTGTAAGAGCCACGATTCTTGTCAGACCATTTAGTTTCTACTAGTCAGATCACTTTGTGTCTCCGTTCTCATTTGTAGAATGGCATCTATGCCACTGGGTTACTGTGAGGACTGAGATGATGAAGCACTCAGAGGATCAATTAGTAGGCCTTAGACACATGGGAGACCTTATTACTGTGATGAAAACTCACTCCTGTCTTCGACCTTGCCTTCTCACATCTGGTGACTCTCCCGCTGACTAGTACTTGGATACACAAGGGATCCACAGATAGCTTTGGGCACAGCAGAAAACTTAGTACCAGGCCCTGGAGAAGCCACTTGGTTCTCTCAGTGGGTTTACAGAGCAAAATCTCTTTGCCGTGGTGCTCCATTGGCCGGACCTGGCCTCAGTTCTGCTACTTCAGTCCACTGTGACCCCTTGATCTTTTTCTAGCCTCCTTCCCTCCAGGGATCAAAGTCAACGATGCCAAAGATGGGACAGGTGACACCAAGCTCAGCTCCAGCACTAGGGAGTGGTTTCCATCTCATGACTGCCCTAGAGTGTAATGTCTCTCTCACAAGAGCACGTAAGAAATTCCTGTCTCTCCTCTCTGTCCAAGCTGTGCTAAATCACCCACAGTTCACATCTTCAAATGCAAGTCTGTGTTCCAAGGAGTCATCCTCCCAGTCCACAGCTGCTTCAGATCATTCTCACACTCCTGAGCCCTGATCCTTGCTTCCTGTTCTGACAGCCAAGCTCACTCATCCCTCTCAGACATGGTCGCCCTCTAGACTGCGTCTTTTAGGCCTCTTTTATTCTTCTTTTGTTCACTTAATTAGCTGACCAGGACTCCCTGGCTCCTAGTCCTGACTTCAAGAATCTCCAAGTTTCCATGTGATCCCAGGCCTCCCATAGTCTGTCTTTCCTTTCCTTGCCAGTGATCTGGGAACAGGGATGGGGCAGGAGGCTCCACAAAGACCAATTTGCTAGACTTACATGGCCATCTAAAGCCCACTGATCGTCTTTGAACTTGTTCACGAAGATCTCCACAGGCCCTGTAATTTGGTAGACCTGGAGCAGGAGATGGAAATCTTCTTTCTTGTAATTTCCTAGTGAAAGAAAATGGGTTATATTTGAAATATCTGTGTGCTTGCTGGTTTTTGTCAATGTGACACAGACTAGAGTCACCTGGGAAAATGGAGCCTCAACTGAAGAATTTCCCAGACCAGAATGGCCTGTGGCCATGTCTGTGAGGCATTTTCTTAATTGATAGCTGAAGTGGGAAGGCCCAGCTCACTGTGGGTGGTGCCATCCCCTGGGCTGGTGGGCCTGAGCTGTCTAAGAAAGTTAACTGAGCAAGCCAGGGGCAGCAAGTCAGTAAGCAGTGTTCCTCCATGGTCTCTGCTTCAGTTCCTGCCTCCAGACCTTGAGTCCTGGCCTTGACGTCCCTTGAAAACTGACTGTAATCTGTAAACCAAATAAACCCTTTCCTCCCCAACTTGGTTTTATCATAGTAACAGAAAGCAAACTAGAATAACCTGTGAAAAATTTCAAAACCCAAATCCATGGGTTCTGTGGGTATTAGGCCTGTGTGGAAGTTACATGTGGACATTGATGGACATGGTCCCCGCACATCTGTAGGCATATAGGCCCAGAGTGAGCATAAGCATGTGTGACTGAATGTGGTTATACACAGAAACATACAGACACATTCTAATAGAGATTGTGATCCTGTTTTTACACATATGACTAAAAATATGATTTTGTGGGGCAGGTGAGATGGTTCAAGCAGGAAAAGGTGCTTGCTGGCAAACCCTTTGACTTGAATTCACTCACTGGGTAGAAGAGGTCCTCTGACCTTCACATACAGATGTGGCATGTGCCCCTGCCCCACAGATATATAAATGTAATTAAAAAATTAAAATAGAAGCTGGGCGTGGTGGTGCATGCCTTTAATCCCAGCACTCGGGAGGCAGAGGCAGGTGGATCTCTGTGAGTTCGAGGCCAGCCTGGTCTACATATCGAGTTCCAGGTCAGCTGGGGCTACAGGAAGACCCTGTCTCAAAAAGACCAAAATATAAAAAATAAAAATAGAATATGGTTTTGTGTATTTTGATCTGACCATGAATTCTGGGTATATTTACAAGTCCATAGGTGTAGGAAGACATGAGAGCATGCATGCTTGTGTCTATGTGTTAGAGCAAATGAGTGAATGTGACTATGTGGCTGTGTGTGTGAGTGGGCACTACTTCATGTGGGCTGTGTATGCTAATTCATCCATCCATCCACCCATCCATCCATCCATCCATCCATCCATCCATCCACCCACCCACCTATCCATCCATCCATCCATCCATCCATCCATCCATCCATCCATCCATCCATCCATCCATCCATCCATCCATCCATCCATCCATCCATCCATCCATCCATCCATCCATCCATCCATCCATCCATCCATCCATCCATCCATCCATCCATCCATCCATCCATCCATCCATCCATCCATCCATCCATCCATCCATCCATCCATCCATCCATCCATCCATCCATCCATCCATCCATCCACAAAAATTGAAACCTGAGAAAACTTTAAAAGGTGGAGATGTGCTGAGCATGGTGGCACACTTGGGAGGCAGAGGCAGGCGGATCTCTGTGAGTTCAAGGCTAGCCTGGTATACATAGTGAGTTCCAGGACAGATGGGGCTACAGAAAGAGCCTGTCTCAAAAAAAAAAAAAACCCATGCAGATGAAACAGTCATAAACACAAAATAAATGTAAAAAAAAAAAAAACTACTGCAAACACTTTAGTGTAAATACTTTTTATTTCTTATGAATGCCATTTTTTCCTTTAAAAGTTGAAATTGAGGCTGGAGAGATGATTCAGTGGTTAAGAGCACTGACTGCTCTCACAGAAGACCTGGGTTTGATTCCCCGCACCCATATGGTGGCTAACAACCATTCGTAACTCCAGTTCCAGGGGATCCGACCCCTTCTTTTCCAGGGGCACTGCACCATATGGGTACACTTACATGTATATAGGCAATACACTCATACACATAAAATTAAAAAAAGGTGGCATCATATTTTGTGTGTTACAATGGGTACATTCACTCCAAGATTGGCATATTTTATCTAATATATATATATATAATAATGAAAACACTTATATTTATATTTAGGAAAATTTCTGTTTCTAGCTTTTTGTAATATGAATATTAATTACTTTCAAGTGAATACTGGGGCTGGTGAGATGGCTTAGCAGTTAAGAGTCACACTGCTTTTTCAGAGGACCCGAGTTCAGTTCCCAGCATTTATTATCAGACAGTTCACAACTGCCTATAACTCCAGCTTCAGGGCATTTGATGTCCTCCTGTGGACTCTGAGGGCACCTACACTCATGTGCACATACACACACACACACACACACATAATTTAAAAATAAAATAAATCTAAAAAATAAAACATTGCCCATTCTTTATAAATTTTTAAGTTTCTCCATTTCAACTTCTTAAGATAAAAATTATTCGAGGCATAATTAATGAATTCAATAATTTTCAAGGATCTTTGTAGGAACTGCCCAACTGTTTCCTAAACTGGACTATTTTATGCCCCGTCACTACTGAACCAGACAGGTACTAAGGTTTTCCACTTGAAGCTCTGAATTGCTGGAGTAGATTGAGAATGACGTTTTGGGCTTGCTTTTCTATTTCTGACAAACATTTTTTCTTTTGTTTACTGACTGCACATGCCCTTCGGGGATGTATCTGTCTTCTTGTTGTGAGCGATCTTCATAATCTCTATGTTTGTCATTAGTCCACAGTAAAGATGAACAGACACTTCTCTTCCCTGTCTGAGGCCAGTCTGAGCCAAACGTGACCTGATGATGCAGTGATGGTAGACTCATCCTTGCTGAGGTGTGTACCTGTCACCCCTGCCACCTACCCTCCTTTCAGGGACATGGCTGCCTCCTTACCAGCCAGGTGCAGCTCCACCCCACTGTGGTCGATCATGGTGGCATTGACCTTGCTGTTGGCAACCTGGAAGCCCGTCACTCTGAGCATGGCTGGCTGCTTCTTCCCCTGGTACTCATAGGCCCCTTTCCACAGGGAGTTCTTGGCGAAAACATCCCCTGGAACTAGAGGGATTGAGAAACGTGTGAGACTCTGTGTTGCTGGGATAGCTCAAACATGGACATTTCTTTCCCAAGTGTCTAAGGTTTGGGGACGATGGGAAAGTGTGACTGTGTGATCCTCTTGTGTCTCAGAGTGGGTGGGTGGAGGGAACGGAAAAAGGTACATTGAGGAGACATCTGTATTGTCTACCATGTCACTGTGGTGCTATCTAGAGCAGTCAAATTATGGGAATATCCAAAGTCCCTATCAGTGGGTGAATGGATAAAGAAAACATGACACATAATGAAATACTGTTCACCCTTTAAAAAAGGAAATCCTTCCCTCAAGGGAATGGGGTTCAGTGGTAGAGCACTTGACCAACATGCATGAGGTCTAGGTTCAATAACTGGTATCAGAGAAAAGGAAGTCCTTTCATTTGTGAGAAAATGGATGAACTTGGAGGATATTGTGCCAAGTGAAATAAGTCATGGACAGAAAGACTACTGCGTAGCATCACTTACAAGAACAAGCTAAAAAGTCAAACTCTCAGAAGAAAGTGGGGAGAGTTGGTCGGGGGATGAGGTTCAAAGGTACAAAGTTTCAGCTGAGCAGGACTATTTTTAGTGACATATTGCCCAGTGTCATGACTGTGGTTAATAATAATATATTGCATATTTTCTAAAAGAATGTATTTTAAATATTCTAGGTGAGGTAATAGTATGTTAATTAGCTTCATAATTATACTACAACATGTACATGTAGACCACATTGTACACCACAAATACAGGCACGGATTTGTCAATTAAAAGTACAATGTTAAAAATAAAAGAGAGCTAATGTAGCTCAACTGGCAGAGTGCTTGCATAGCATGTGCAAAGCCCTGGGTTCCATCCTCAGCACACATAAAGCAGGCGGTGGTGGCATACACCTGTAATCCCAGCACTCAGAAGGTAGAGGCAGGAGGATCAGAGGATCAGAAATTCAAGGTCATTCTCAGGTATAGCTCATAGCAAATTTGAGTCCAGTATGAGATACAGGAGAGAGAGAGAGAGAGAGAGAGAGAGAGAGAGAGAGAGAGAGAGACAGAGACAGAGACAGGAGAGAGAGAGAGAGAGAGAAACTGGTTCCATGTAGGAACAACAGGAGCTTGATCCTATAGGAACAGGCCCATCTGCTGTCAGTGCAAGAACCCAGCTTCCTCACCTGCACAGGCCACAGCTGCAGTTCTGCAAGTTGGGACCACCCCACTTCCTTCATCAGGGTTACCGTAGGGCTTAAATGATCCAGCACTGCATGGTGTTACACAATGTCGAGTGCATAAAAGCCCCTAGTGAAGGCCGACTACCAAAGCTTTTATGCGTCTTTGTAATAACTCTCTGAGACAAGACTTTCCATCCTTGTTGCACCTAAAGGTAGACTGTACCTTACTGTACCTTAAGGAGCTTAAGAGGTAAAGTTCATCTGTCTATACACTCAGCTGGTCAGTGACCAAAATGGCCTCTCAGTTGAGTTTATGACACCATAATACATACACATGCTAATGTGCCCTACAGTTTGGACCTGGAATGTTCCCCTGGCGACCCACGTGTTAGAGGCTTTGTTCCCAGCCTGGCATTCTTGGGAAGTGGCAGGAACTTTAGGAGTTGGGGCTGGGTTGGGGGAGGTTTTAGATCAATGGGGCATAATGTTGAAGGGAATTATGGGAGCCTTCCTGTTTCTCTTACACACAGCCATGAGGTAAACATGGCTTCCTCTACCAGGAGCTCCCAGTCTGTTAAATCCACAAGGGGAACCAATCATGGACTGACCCCTAGAGCTGAGAGCCAAAATAAACCTTGTCTCTTCACAAGTTGATTAGCTCTAGTATTTGTTACAGCAAGGGAAAACTAACACATGTGGTAAATACAAGTAGAAGGTCCCAAACAGGATATCGTAGTCTATAATAATTTTGCAATGCTCAGGCTACACCTGTGGTGCTGTGGCCAGTTCTGGATGTGACACTCTCAAAGATATAGTACCTGTCTTGAAGAGGTCTCAATTTCCAGGAAGCTTCCTGGGCAGGACCTGGGTCCCTGAGTCTGTGACCATACACTGGCCAATGCTGTATCAACAGGAGCTGCAGTAACTGGGACTTCTGGGAGGCCCTGGGATTTTTGTCAGCATGAAGCTTCTCTTTAAGGTTCATGTCTTCCTGAAGGCTGCCTGGCCTGGGAGTGGGTAAGGAATCTGTTGGTGTCTATGGAGAGTTCCTGTTTCTTCCCACTGGACACCCAGGGACTCGTGTGCCTGTTTTTGGCTATGTGACGGAGGCAATAGTGATCCGGACCCTACCTACCCGAGGCTTGCGTGATTGGAGGGTCTCGGGCAGTGTTGATGGGTCTCCCGCTGGGCCGGACCTCTGCTAGGGAAAGAGAATGGAAGGAAACACGGTCAGTCCTTGGTCCACACACTGTGGGAGAGATAACAGTCAGCTGTCTGATTCAGGCTCTCTGAGATCTTGATTTGGACTCATCTTTTCAGACCAGGAGGTGATAGTGATGCTGTAGACCATCTCAGAATAGTACAAAAAGGAAAAGGCAGGGAGGAAACTACATAGTCAGGGTTTGGAGTGCTATCAAGGCATTTGGATATAGATGCTCGTTACTCTTTGTTATTGCATTAACAGGATATTAAGAGCTACCATAATCTTGAAATAGTCAAGAAAAACTAAAAGTAGAATTACCACATAACCCAGCAATCCCACTACTTGGAACCTACCCACAGGAGCAGAAATCAATAAGCTGAAGATACATCTCACTTATGTGTCCACCACAGCAGCATTAACCGCAGTGGCCAAGGCATGAGATCAACCTACTTGTGTGAACACATACTTACTACTACTACTACACACACACACACACACACACACACACACACACACACACACACATACACGTACATGCACACAGGAATACTATTCAGCCTTTGAAAAGAACAAAATCTTATCGCAACAAGATGAGAATATTGTGTTACATGAGATAAATCAGGCACAGAAAACCCCACATGAACTCACTGACATGTGTAATTACAAAAGTCAAACTCACAGAATCAGAGTAGAAAGGGCTGGGGTGAGGGGAGGGGCCAGGGAGGATGGGGGCCAGGAGGACAGGGGCTGGGGAAGATGGGGGACGGAACTGGGGGAATGTTAGCTAAAGGGCACATCCTTAGTAAGACAGTGCTTAAGAAGGCATTATATACTTGAAAATTGCTGAGTAGGTTTTTAGCATTCTTACCATAAAAACAATAACTACAAGAAGCAAATAAGCTTGGCTTAGCCATTCCACAATACATACACATACAAAACATTATGTTGTATGGTACACATGTATCAACCACAAGATACCACTTTACATTTGCTTAGGAAGGATGTACTAAAATAGATGAATAGTAATAAGTGTTGGCAAGGAGAGGAAGTGGACCTATGGTGCATCTCTTGTGGGATGTAAAATTGCATAAGCACTTTGGAAAATAGCTTGGCAGTTCCTAACAGGTTACACACAAGGTAACCATTCTGCTAGTTACATACTCAAGAGAATTGAAAGCTTATATCCACAGAAAAACATACATATACTTATTGTAGTGGTTTGAACGGGAAATGATAGGCTCATGTATCTGAACACTTGGTCCCAGTTAGTGTCGCTGTTTGGGGAGGTTATGTAACTATTAGGAGGTACAGCCTTGCTGTAGGAAATGTGACACTGGGGGACGGCTTTGAGGTTTTATAGCCTGCCCCCACTTCCTGTTCTTACTCTACTTCCTGTGTATGAATGAAATGTGACCTTTTTGCTTTCCTCTCCTCCTGCTGCCGTGCCTCCCGCCATGATGGACTCTGTCCCTCTGCCACTGCGAGCAAAAACAAACCCTTTCTTCCCTAACTTGCTTTTCTCAGGATATTCCACCTCAGCAACAGAAAAGTAACGAATACATATGTCCACAGAAACATTATTCACAATAACTAAAAAAACCTGGCTCAGCCGGGTGTGGTGACACACGCCTTTAATTCTAGCACTTGGGAGGCAGAGGTAGGTGGATCTCTGTGAGACTGAAGCCAGCCTTGTCTACATAGTGAGTTCTAGGCTAGCTGGGGCTACAGAGAGATTCTGTCTTAAATTCCCCCCTCAAAAAAAAACCCATCCAGATGTCTATTACAGATTGAAGAGATAAACAAAATGTGGTTTTGCATGCAATGGAATATTACTCAGGCATGCAGAAATGGATGAAATTCTGAGACCTGCTAAAACATGGGTGAATCTTGAAAGCATTATGTCAAGTGAAATAATCCAGACATAACAGGACAAACACTGCATAATTCCACTAACATGTATTCAGGATATGTAACTACACAGAATGCGTAAAGGGTTATCATGGGCTAAGGAAAAGGAGAAATGGGAAATTATTTAATAGGCACAGAGTTTCTGTTTAAAATGACGAAACAATTCTAGAAATGGATAGTGTGATGGTTGTGTGATGTTGTGACTATTTCTAAGACCACTGAACTTCACACTTAAAAGTTTATATTATGTACATTTTGCCATAAATAGATAATAAATGCACTTAAAGGAGCCAACAGGTTCAGGAGATGATGCCATAGTTAAAGTGACTGCTATGGAAAGTATGAGGCCCAGAGTGTGGATTCCAGAGATGCATGTAAATGCCCGTAGTAGTGGTGGTTTGTCTGGAACTCCAGACTTGAAAGGCAGAGATAGGGGATCCCCAGCTGGTGAGCAAGAAGAGCCATAATGACAAGCTCTGAGTTCAAGAGAGAGACCCTGCCTCAGTGAGTAAGGTGGAAGAGCGATTGAGGGTGATTCCCGACATCAACTCTGGGCCTCATGTGCACACACACCCCCACACCCGTGCCTCCACACATGTGTAAAGAGCAAGTGTCACACACAGACACGTGGAAAATGGAAAAAGAAAAAAAAGCCTGGATGTCACCACTGAACATGGGGGACATCGCACAGGACTTTACAATGATCAGGTCAGGGTGATCAGCATCTCTTCTATAACATTTATAATTGCTATGTGTTTTACCCATATGGAGGTGTGACATGGGGTTCTTTTTTAAAGTATGCGTGTTCTAAAGTACTAACTGTGGCAGGAGATGGCAGGAAGCTATGTCAAGATTAACATGGGAAGGAAGCCAGTTGGCAGAGGAGGACTGGAAGGACTAATTTCCCTTTCATGCTTTATTTGTTTGTTTGTTTATTTATTTATTTATTTAATTTATTTATTTTCCTGTCTTTTATTCCCGTTTGCAACCAGGTGTCCCTGGTCCAAAGTTTTTGTTGAGGGACAGACTTGGATACTCTGGGACACAGATCATGCCTATAAAATGGTAACATGTCTTGTCCTACTGTGACCTCCTCTAGGTAGAGTTGGTGTCCCAAGAAGTCACCCATGCCCAGGACAGGCATATGGGACAGTGATAAGGGGAGTGGTTCGAGGAGCGGATAAGGAAGGAGGGCGTGATGACAAGTGTTGAGGAGACATGTATGCACCTGGATTTGAACATTATGCAGTGTATATACATATGGGAATATCACACAGGACTCCATAAACATGTACAATTTTTATGTAGCAGTTAAAAATGAAGAAAAGCAGAGGGAGGGAACCCTGGGACATCTGGGTGGAAACTGCTTTATCATGGTTAGAACAGGCCTCGTGTGTTCTTCCAGCCTGGTGGGAGAAGGGCTGGGTGGAGTGCACCTGATGTGGTCTTCCTTAAGGTGAAGGCAGGTGGGGGCTCGATGTAGGCCCATGTGGGCTGCTCTGACGTGGTCTCCTGGAGCCCCAGCACCTCAATCCGAGGCAGGGCCCAGCTCCTGAACCTTTATCTCTCCCTCCCTCTTTTCTAGCACCTGGCTGCCTCCCCGCTGGCAAACCTCCCCTCCCCAGCTTTCACCCTGAAGTGATCTCACTCACCCAGGCAGACAGGTGGTTTGCCGGTCCAGCTGCCATCAGCTTTGCAAGTGCGGTGCTCGGAGCCACCCTTGAGGGAGAAACCTTCTTGACAGGAGTAGATGAGTGTATAGCCCATGGACGGCAGGTCCAGTGCCCCCACGTTGGCGTGTGTGGGTGTCTCTGGCTGCTTACAGTGGTGGGCTGGGAGAGAGCAGAGACACTCTTAGACCTGAGCAGTCTGGGGCTTTGGAGGGGCCTCTCTTTCATCCTCCCATTCCTATGTAGAGCATCCCCTTCCTTTCCTTAGCCTGTTCATGCCCTGTATCCCATTCTCCACCCCCCCACCCCTCCAGCCCTCACTCAAGGTCTCTAGGCACGTTCCATCATGATGGGGACTGTGTGCTACTAGCTTGGTCAGTCCCAGGGAACCTCACTCAGCCTGCAACACTTTGTGAGAAAACAGACTAATCAACAGCCACCATCTCCTCTGACCCCTGCCTTTCTCGTGTTTATTAGTTCTTGTTGTCTTGGGACTGGTTATTCTTTGCTAAGATTTAGGGATGAACTTCCAGTTCCAGAAAGGCTTCGGTGTGGAAGCATCTTCCCTGAGACCCCAAGAGGCGGGCACTACAAGAAGGTCAGTATGGGTCCCAATGGGAAGCTGTGGGCCCCTGTCACTCACAGCATTGGAGCATGTCCCACATGGCAGCCTGGCCGGGGGATCTGGGTGAAGGGCTGGGCGTGGGTAGCACTCACGGACACAGTCGGGTGGGGTTCCACTCCAGGTCAGATTGGGGAGGCAGGTCCTGGTGGTGGAGCCCTGAAGCAGGTAACCTTTCTGACAACGGAAAAGCACTGTGCTTCCAACCTGCAGCAAAGACAGAAGGGCCCCATGTCACCTTCCATCCTGCAGTGTTTCATACACTGCTGGTCACCCAGTCACTTACTCCTACCCAAGCTGTTGCCTCTGCCGACAACATGAATCTTCTCTGCGTGGCTGAGTCTTACTGGTCCTTTGGGGTCAGATGGGCGCCTTTATAGGACGTGTCACACTGTCAAGGTACACAGAATTGGAAGACCCAATTCCTCACCAAACAGAATACTAAACCACAGTCTCTCTGAGCATAAACAGAGGGAAGAATGCTGTGCTGGTCCCGCATTGGACTATGTGACACTCAAGTGTGATGGAGTTGAAAGCACTGAATAAAAGGTGAAGAACTGGGCAAAGTGAAACGATCCTTTGTGTGTGTTTCTTCTACAGAACTAAGCCGAGGATTGGCGAACTTACCTTCTTTACGGATGTGGCTTTGCAAACATCTGCTGGACAGAGCTGCAGCCATGATTCTGTTTCTCCCTCTGTTCGGTTGTGTCCCCTGCATCCCCCTTCCAAGGGTCCCTGACTGTCTGACTCCATGCAGCTGCCTGGCCCCCTCCCCTGCCATTTGACTTAACAGGCCAGGTCAGTTTTCCCATGATGCAACTCAGGCTGTAGCACCTTCCAGTCCAATGCTCACGTGTGTGTATACCTAGGAGCTCAGATTCAAATGCAACTTGAAGTTTTTCATTTCCCTTGTTTCTCCGTCCCATCCTGTTCGCCTCTTGGTTTTCCTCAAATCTGGGGGTCTTCAGCAATAGCACCTTTATCCATCTAATGCTACAAATCAAAATCCTCAAGCCAGGTCTGATCCTGTCACCTCCTCAATCTAGACTGTCACTGGCCCTCTTAGTTCTAGGGAAGGGCAGGGTGATAGTGCCACAGTGTATCTATCTGAAGGCTCCACCTCTCTCCTCCTCCACTGTCTCCACTCTCCCACAATTCTCTTCACAGTCATTAAACAGTGGCCTCTTTCCCTGGTACCTCTCTCTCTCTTGCTCGTTTAAAAAAATTATTATTTTTATTTTATGTGTATGTGTGTATTGCCTGCATGTAGGTAAGTGCACCCATGTCATGCAATGCCTGCAGAGGTCAAGCCGGATCCCCTGGGAGTTGTTAGCTGCCATGTGGGTGCTGGGATTCGAACCCGGGTCTTCTGCAAGAACCCAGTGTTCTTAAACGCAGAGCCATCTCTCCAGCCCGCTTTCTTTTTTTTTTTTTCCTTTTTAAAATCTGTTATCTTTCTTTGATTCAGTAGCCTGAGTGACATTTGAGATAGTGGATCAGATCCAGTCGCTTTCAGTGACACAGCATATAATCCAGGACAGGCACACTGGCTTTAGGCCCTGTAGGATGCCCATGCCTTTGCCCTTGCAAAACTTATGAGGTGCACCCAGGGCATACAAAAGAACCAGAGGGGACACAGGTACGAGGTGCTCTAAACAGAGGCACCACACAATGCAAGGGTTGGAACCCAGCAGGCACCGGTGCCACTCTGCGCCTCAACTTTCTCCCAGTGGTAACTGCTATCTTCAATGCTGTGATTTTAATTTCCTTTCCTTACAAAACTAATTCTGTCACATATATGCATACATATTTCTAAATAGTTGAATGTTTTTACTGTTTTAATCTTTGTAGCATCTTTATTATTCAATAGCATGTTCCTATGACTCATCCATGTCATGTGGGGCTGGGGTTAATTCATGTTCATTGCTGTATACTAATCCATTTCTGTGAGTACACCACATTTCTTCTTGTTTCTTGGTGACAGGTGCAAGAGTGTATCTGGGGTATGTTTCTAGGAGTGGAACTCTGGAGCCACAGAGTGTATGTATAGATATATCCTTAACAACTAGTGTAAGGGCGTGTTTAGACCTAGTCTAGCGCTCGGTCTTCCTTTTTTCTCCCACTGTGCTATATTTCCATGGCTTCCCTGGCTCTGCCCTGATCAGCTCTTCCCCATCTCAGTGTTCAGAAATGTGACCCTGGCCTGCATGGAGCTAGCTTTCTTGTCATGAAGCCCACAGTTCAAATGACACCCTTAGGAGGGCTCTTCCCTAACTAACCTTCCTGAAATAGTCCCTCCACATCACACTCTGGTGCTCGGTGCTTTCAGAAGCAATCGATCTTGTTTGCTTGGTTATTGTCACAAGGTCTATGGAGCAGGCCCAGCCTGCCCGATCTCACTGCACTCTTAGTATCTGGAACAGCTCATATTTTCTGAGAGACATCAGACTAAGAGTAAAGTGCACCAGTTGACCAGCCCTCAGCCTGTCATTTCCAGGTTAGTCCAATACCCATCTTCAGTCCCAGCTAAGAGTCCTGACCTGAGCATACCTTGATGTCCCTGCCTCCCTTGCTCTGTTCAGTGTCACCCAAAGCTCATTCAGAGATTCACATCCAGGGCCTATGTCCTGATGGGAAGCCCTCTAGTGAATGCCTCACACCTGGCCCTTGCTGGCTCCCACTGCCCTGGATGAGCCCCATGTCTGTGGCTATGGTGTAGGTGTCCTGATGACAGGCCATCTGTCTCACTTATTTTGATATTTCCACAAACACCCTGCTCCAACTCTGGGGTTGCTGTGAAGAATTCATGGCACCTTCCACAGCAGCCTGGCTGATAGACATCCGTGCCTTCCTCCACTTTCCAAGATCTTGTCCTCCCCTTGTGCTGTCCCCAGGGCCTCTGATGCTGACAGTGACAGGAAGGGGCAGGACACAGGAAGGCCGATCTTGGCTGACCTCATTACCTGGTAGCCCTGGGAGTTGTTCTGTATCCCAAACTGCGGCATGCCGGGGTCCGCACACGTGGTCAGCGTGGGGTCTGGATGACCAAAACAAAGAAGCAGACCACATGGTCACTGGCAGTTCCGCTGTCCACCACCTCCCACATTGGGAGCCTAGGCAAGAAACCGGAGTTGCCTCCACACCCCACCTTCTGAGCTCTTTATCCGCCTCAGAGACCGTGTCTGACTGCTGCATTGTCCAACACATGAGCGCTGGCTCTCCTGTATCCCTCTCTAAGAAGCTCAGAGAAGGTCCCTAAGGCAGACCCATCATCGCCCAACCTCCAGACATGCTTGCCCACCAGCCAAGCCACGGGCCCAGGCCCTCTCTCACCTATGCAGCTTGGCTGTGTGCCGCTCCACGTCCCATCCGACTGGCAAAACCTCCTCGGGGAGCCCACCAGCACCAGAGGGGGATGACAGGAGTAGGACACGGATGACCTGTAGGAGAAGCCCCGGTCCTCTCTCTTCCCTCGGGGTGGGACCCCGGGATCTCCACAGAATACAGCTGAGAAGACAAGAGGAAAGGGTGGGTCTAAGGTGCTTTCTGGAACCCGGTCTCCCTGCCTCCCCTGCCTGGGTCTTTGTTCTTTTCCTCAGGATTCCACTTTGGAAACTTTGGAAACTGGACTAGGCCTACTTAGTGTTTCTGCCTGCTTCAGAACAACTGCCTCAGCCATGACCTTCTCTCCTTCCCACACTCAGGGAGCTTATTAACTCTCAGTTCATGGAGTAACATTCCAGGAAGTTTGAATGTTGAGATGGACTGGGAATGTAGCTCATCAGTAGAGCTTGTGCTTAGCATGGGCGAGGCTCTGGGACTGATTCCCACTGGTCTCCCAATTTAATGCCTGTGAACTTCTAGCCTTCCTTCGAGTGTCTGGCTGCAGAGTCAAGGCCCACATGATTTTGAATCATTTTTGATCACTAATATTTTTCTTATGACAAGGTCTCTAGCCCAGGCTGACTCTGAACTATCTATGTAGCTGAGGATGACCTTGAACTCCTGATCCTCCTGCCTCCACCTCCCCAGTGCCGAGATTACAGGTGTAAGCCTCTATTCCTGGTTATGAGTGCTGGGGATTGAACTCAGGGCTCTGTGCATCCTAGGCAAGCACTCTACCAACTGAGCCACATCCCCAGCCCTTGTTAACCTACTTTTATGACATTATCATCACATTCTGGTTACTCAGTTGTTCAATGGGTGGTTGTATTATGATCACATTTTTACCATTTATCATTTTATCAATTTATAGAATAAATTTACACATGGCTTTTCTTCTACATTTCCATTGTTTTCTTAGGAGAATTTTCTAGGCTTGGGCTTATTATCTTCAAAGGGTTTACAAGTTCACTGGAGGGTAGAGAATGGGTGTGTCCATTTCACTCAGCTCATGTGAATATCAGGGAGGATCATTAAATTCACTACCAAAGCCCAGGTGCCCTATGACATCACTACAAACATCACATTATGCCATGGTGCATGTGTGTGAATGTTTGACCGTGCATGTGTACGTGGAGTCCTGAGATTTATAATCATAGGCAAAACAAAACAGAAGCTGGACCTGTAGCCCATGTCCTGGAAGCAGGTAGTATAAGCTGATCAAGAAGTCAGTCAAGGGACTGGAGGGATGGCTCAATGGTTAAGAGTACCAGCTGCTCTTGCAGAGGATCTGAGTTCAATTCTCAGCACCCACACACCGGCTAACAACCATCCATAACTCCAGTTCCAAGGGATACAGTGCTTTCCTCTGACCCCCAAGGGTGTTTCATGACATGCGTGCACTTCTATACATGCAGGCAATACACTCATACACATAAACAATAAAAAATAATAAATAAAATAGTTTTTTAAAATGGTGTCAGTAAAGAGCTGAATAGATCAGAAGTTGTCATAGGAGGAAGAGGTCACTGGAAGGGCAGACTACAAAGGCTGGCAGCCTTTCTACAGAGCAGCCCAACCTTTCTAACGAGTGATGAGATACCAATTAAGGTGAGGACATATCTTTTAAACTCAGGCTGGAAAATATGAAAAATATTGTAAAGTACATTATTGATAAGTTTCCCTGGGGATAACCTTCCTCAGGAATTTGAAGAAAGGAGAATGTTGGATTTTAAGCCAAATGAGATGGAGCAGAATTCGTTTTGACTTTGGTGGGCCTTCAGATCAGTCCTGGATACTCACTTATCTTTGTCTTCTGACAGTGAAGAATTCATCAGTTGAATTTGTGTTTTTAAGCAAAAATGTTTTTTCATGAAAGCATTTAATTTTCAGGTATGCTTTTTTCTGTTGCCTTCAACTGGTTATTAAAAATAAAAGGTCCTTTTTTAGTAAATGATCCCCCTCCTGAAATTTTGTCTCCATTTCTACAGAATGCCATAGTTTATTTTCCAGGTCTTTTCATCTTAGGAGATATGGAGCAGTTTCTAATTTAAGGCTGAATCTGACACTGGATTTGGTGGCCCTGGGTTTGGGTGGTATGGAGCTCGGAGTTGTCATTTACATTGGTGACTGATGGATCTTGACTCTCTGCCTCTCATGCTGTACTTTTACATACACATGGTAAAGCTTATGGAAAAGAATGGAAGGATTTCTCTGTTGTTTTTAAGACTGATGCTCCTGTCAAATGACTGGTTTTATTATCTCCCTTCTGCTAGAAACCACATCACAATTCACACTAGATAAAAATAGCTGCTCGTTCTTTAACACCTGCCTTGTTGAATAACGTTTGCATTTTTCTGATTATGTTTTTGATACATACTCATTGTGGATAATTGAGAACAGAAAAAATATAAGGGAGCAAAGATAAAAGAAACATCTTCATAACTGATGGTGGAATGAAAGTTGGATATTCTTTCTAGAAGGCAATGTATGCCAAGATGTACTGAGTGCCTGGCCATTGGTCCAGGCCTCTCACTTTTAGAATTTTCTACAAGAAATGCTGTTTTTAGGAATTGTTTATTTCAGAACTACTTTTAACATGACTAATTGGAGGTAGCCTAAATTTATCACCAATAGGAGAAAGCTCAACAAATGATAGTGTATACAATAAGAAAAAAATAAAATCATTAAAATGAATGCTGGAGAGATAGCTTAGCAGTTAGCCCTTGGAGAAGACCCGAGCACCTATGTCAGGCAACTCACAGCTGCCTGTAACTCTAACTCCAGGGGATCCAATGCCCTCTTATGGATTCCATAGATACCTGCACTCAAGTGCACATGTCCACACACAGACCCACAAGCATATACAAATTAAAAATAAAAATAAATCTTAAAAAATTTAAAAGCCATAAAAAATGATGGTGCACAGATTAGTATGTATTGACAGATACAGTTGCTGATGGAAAGGTCTCAGTGATCTATCAACAAATACAAGCCATGGAAATAGTGTGAGGAGCCGATAACATGTATAGAAACTTGAACATGTATCACTTTATATAAAAAATGTACAATTATCTACATAGAGACAGAATCTGAAATGTAACTATGGTTATCTTTGGTAAGTTTTATTTTCTCTTTCATATTTTCTGAGTACAGTTTGTGTGTGTGTGTGTGTGTGTGTGTGTGTGTGTGTGTGTGTGTGTGTATGCTCGTGTGTGTATGTGGAGGCCAGAAGACAATTTCAGCTGTTACTCAGGATCTGTTCATCTTTCATTTCTGATAGTGTCTCTCACTGGCCTGGAGCCTAGCCAATACTGTGTTTTGTTTTGTTTTGTTTTTTAAATAATGATCATAATTTGCTGTTATTTATTTATTTATTTATTTATTTATTTATTTTGTGTGCACGCGCGCGTGCGCTGGGAATGGAACCCAGAACCTGCACATGCTAAGCATGCATTTTGCTACTGAGCTACACCCTTAGCCCTCATAACTGATTGTTTAAAAGCAATTCATCTCTTTTTCAGGAGGAGAAGCAAGGCTGCTGGGTCCATACAACCCTGAAGAAACGACCTGCCACATGTCTCCCCAAGGTTGCCGGGTCCATACAACCCTGAACAAACGACCTGCCACATGTCTCCCCAAGGTTGCCGGGTCCATACAACCCTGAACAAACGACCTGCCACATGTCTCCCCAAGGTTGCCGGGTCCATACAACCCTGAACAAACGACCTGCCACATGTCTCCCCAAGGTTGCCGGGTCCATACAACCCTGAAGAAACGACCTGCCGCATGTCTCCCTGGTGGCATGTGATGGTCAGAGGTGGTGACCACAAGCCAAGAGTCTGTCTACTTTTGAGCTATTAGTATTAAACTTGGCTGAAATCTCCAAACATGAACACCTAACAGTGTCAGGAGCACGCAAATTGTGTCTGAATAACAAGCAAAAAAAAAAAAAAGAAAGAAAAATTAAGTTCTACTCTTGCCTGAAAGTCATGAACAGTGAGGAGCCTTTACAGAGGGCCTGCCTATTGCTGGGCTGTCCCTAGGATCCTGCAACCTGGCTCTGTGGGAACCCCAGGAAGCCTCAAATCCTGGGATGGACTTGAGCTCATCAACGCACAGTGGGCTCAGGTAATAACAGTCTCTCACAGTTTCTCACCTGAAAATTGTGGTCTCCCTGTAATCTTTTCCACAAAGGCTATTTTCCCTGGTATGGGATGTCCCCACATCCTTGAGTACTGTCCTATCTGGAGAAGAGCTCTTTAGGTCAGGAAACATCTGCATGTTTCTGACTTCATTTCCTTCCACTGTGACTTGAGACAGTGTTTAAATTCAGGGCTCCAAATTTCCCTCTCTTTTGAATAATGTCTTGACAAAGCTCTTCCTTGATTTAGGGAGGGGGGTACTTATTCTTGGTTTTTCATCAGAAGAGCTCTGAGTATGTGTGTGTGTGCATGTGGGGGAGGAAGGGGAGCTCTCATGGGGGATGCATCCAAGGCCCTTGGGAGGCACTCACGGAAGCACTGAGGCAGCTCTCCGGTCCAAGATCCATTCCCCTCACAAGTGAGCACTGCAGGCAAAGAGAGCTGGTACCCCTCCAGGCAGGCGTAAGTCACACTTGAGCCCCACGTGAAGTCAGATCCTACCACTTTCCCATTGGGAACGAGCTGAGGAGGCTTGCACATGATAGCTGTGGGGAGACCAGAGAAGGCTGAGTTCTGGGGTGGTCCTGGGGAAACCATTCCTGTTACCGTCATCAGCACCACCAGCTACAGTCTGGGCCAAGCAGGAAGAACCTGAAAGGACCCATGGCAGTTTTGATCTTTTTGTATCTTACAATTATCTGTCTCACACTATAACAACTGCCCTCCTGTACACAGGCCTCCCTGCAATGGATGCTGGAGGCTCAGATCTTGCCTTGGTACCTCCCAACTCCCTGTCAATCATTGTTCAGGATCAGTCCTTACCTTTCACATCTCTAATAAGATGTCATCCCTTCCCTTCTGGATGGTCAGGGCTCATGCCCATTTGTGTGTCTTCTGGCCCCCACCTATGTCTTCAGCCCTTAGACATACCTTTGCAGACTGGTTTGGTAGCATTCCATGTCCGGTCCTTGGTGCAGCTGAGCACGGATACTCTGTGTGACTCCATCGTGTAGCCAGGGACACACTGGTATGTCACCGTTTTGTTGTACCTGAAGTCATTGCCTAGCCGGAGACCATTGGCTGGAATCCCAGGGTCACCACAGTTTATGACTAGAGTAAGAGAGACACAGCAGTGTTCATTACCAGCCCAGACCATTTCCCCTCAGCATTTCAGTGCATCTCTATCACTCCCTGCACCCGTCCAAGAAGGAACTCTGTCAGATCAGCCATGCTCTGGATCCCACTGGTCATAGCCAAATTTCCCTGCATCAGCCTCCCCATGGCTCCAATGTCTGTGCCCATACTGTCCTCATGCATGCCAGCAACGTGCACCATGACCACCTTTCTTATCCAAACCCACTCCTCTGAGAGGAGCTACCCACAGATTTTTTTTCTTTTTAAAATATTTTTATCTATTAATTTATGTGTATGAGTGTATTGTCTGAGTGTACCTATGTCGTGCAATGTACCTATGAGTGTACCTATGTCGTGCAATGCCTGTGGAAGTCAGAAGAGGGTGTTGGGTTCCCTAGAACTGGAGTTATGGAAAGTTGTTAGCCACCATGTGGGTGTTGGGAACCAAACCTGGATCTTCTGTAAGAGCAGCCAGTGCTCTTAGCCTCTGAGCCATCTCTCCGGCCCCCGTAGAACTTTTTTTTTTTTTTTAAAGGAAGTGAAGTCCTGGCCAAAGAGAGTTTCTAGGTTGAAGAACCCAAGATGTGTTAATGGATCAAAAAGACAGTTTGCCTGGCCAGGAATGCAACTTATCCCTTGCTGGTCTGCCTGGGAGGCTTCTATAGGCTGAAATAGGCCAGAAGCAGGGTCTTAGGACCTCTTTAATTGTCATATCTTTGTTGCAGTATTGAGAGAGGGTAGGTTTGGTGAGCTGTGGTCTCAGAATAAAACTGAATTTGGTAGGGGATTTCAGATGGAGTTTGGAATCACAGACTGGACTTTGAAAAGAAGACTGTCAGATTCATTCAGCCTGTCTGTTGCCTCCATCTGGATCCCACAGTGCCTGGTTTTCCAAGGGAAAAGGGTCTGGGTTACAGAGGAGCAAGGAAGGGAGCTACGAAGACGCAAAGCTCAGGAACTGGGTTGGGATGGTGGTGTGTCAGCGAAGAGAAGGGTGCAAAGATAGCAGTAGGTCCACAGTGGAGAATGTGGCTGAGCCCTGGGGCTTTGATCTTAAAGGAAAGGGAAAACTCAAGGAACTGGCTGGAGCCTGAGGAATGGCTGCTCCACGGTACTGACTTCTCTGAGACTCAGCCGTCTCATACACAGAGTGGGGCTCATGGTTACTTCACGTGGTTGTGTTGAGACTCTAGTAACATGCGTACAGGAAATGAAGCACTGAGCTCCACGGCGGATGCACCGAACATGCTCAGCCCACCGGCTGCTCCAGGGGTTTCCCATTCTGGCTTTTGCTCCCACTCCAATTAGTTTTCCTCGTCTCCCCCAGCCAGCTTTCTTTAGCAAAGAGGAGCGGGGCTGCCTGATGTACAGGGGACCTGGTTCTCACCTGTGCACTCAGGGTCGCTGCCTGTCCAGGTGCCATTGACCGAGCAGTGTCGGCTGAGCAGCCCTGTGGCATAGTAGCCTTCTCGACATTCATAGACGATGGAGCTGGAGAAAACCAGGCCGTCGCTGAACACGACTCGGGCATTGCTTGGGGTCCCCGGGTTCCCACAGGAGATCACTGGGAAATCAAAAGAGCGCATTATTCACCAGAACCAAAGTTGCCCATTTAGAAGCCTGTGCTACATGGGATCCTGCGGGTGGGGACACACAAAGGCTGCTTTCATGTCAGACTATCTTTTAGAAAGGAAGGGCAGACCTGAATGAGATTTTTATTTCTAAAATTAGTGCGTGTGTGTGTGTGTGTGTGTGTGTACCCATGTATGCACACGCAGGATGCAGGGGCCAGGGGAGGATGTCAGGTGCCTTCCTCCTCTAACATTCTCTTCCTTGCTGCGCTAAACAGAGTCTCAGTGAACTGGACACCTCCTTTTAGGCTCGGCTGGCTGGCCAGCAAGCTCCCAGGATTCACCGCCCTTCACCCTTAATTCTGGGATTATAGGCACACACAACCATGGATTTTTATATGGGTGCTTGGGATTTGAACTCAGGTCCTCATGGTTGCACAGGAAGTGCTCTTACTTGTCTCCCCAGTCCTGAAATCTGCTCTTAAGAAACTTACACATTTAAACACATGAATTAACAACATAAGTGTTACATTTGAAGGGGGAAAAAAGACACCAAGAAGTGAGCTTGTGTTGGGTCCTGAGATAGGAATTTGGGAAGAGCCTTTAGGGATAAGTAGGACCTTGTCAATCAAAGAAGGTGTTAAGAGATATGCATATGTTCTCTCTCTCTCTCTCTCTCTCTCTCTCTCTCTCTCTCTCTC